AAGAAAATAACTCTTCTTAATTTTTTTAGAAATATTAAAAAAATAGCCAAATACAAATTGTTTTGTTAAGCGCTTTTTTCCTCGCGCATCGCTTTCGTTTTTAGTTTTTTAGCGAGGTATGTAAATGATCTGAAATGACTAGTTCACTCGCTTGTCTTTTCCTTTGCCTATCTATCTTTCTGCTTTTCTTTTCCCTTAAGTCGTAAAAAAATTCACTTGAAAAAGAAGTGTTTTTGAGAATTTTGCTAATAGGTAATTAATTAAAATAGCAGAGAAAAAACTGTCGTTAATCGTTTTATAATATATTGGTAAAACAGACACTGTTGAAATGTCAGTAATTCTCTAGTACTCACAAAAAAAGAATGTCAGATATGACTTCATGCTGCAACTGTCCGGAAATAGCATCAAATGCGGGTTTTCTAAGACGACTGCTGTAGCTTTAATCTGAAATGATTGACTGACAATCTGCGTTCACTACTACTTCAGCGTAATTATATAACTGGCCTTTAAATTTGTATGTTCTGCAAATCTTTAGCTCCCAGTCCTGATTTAACAAAAATGTTTTATAAAATTAAAGATGTGAATTCTAGATCTTTATATCAATGAGTTTTGGGAAGATCCAGCGTTAGTCTACAGTTCACTAGCACCATGCAACGGTAACCTCAGCTTTGATTCTACTATGCAGGAAAATATTTGGACGCCAAACACCTGTTTTGTAAATTCCAAAAATGCATCAATTCACAGCTCACCGTTTCGAAATGTGTTCTTTATGATTTTCCCAAATGGTAATTAACAATGACACAAGTTCTTTCACTCTATCAAATTTATTCCCAATTACTTGCAAACAGAATTTTGACAAAATGTTCTTTGTCAGTAGTAAAAATGCTGACTATAGTCTCGGTAATGTAGTAAAGGTTCTGACAGTTTTTTCTTAAGATGATCAGTGTTGTGATTCGTTTAAAATTTGAACGTAAATATTCAAGACAAAAACACTCATGGTACCATTAACTGATTAGGTTCTATCTGGACGAACTGGCGAGTGAAAAGTACCGGACCGTGTAAGTTAAATTTAGCTCGATTTCCGATGGATTTTGTTAGCTGTTTTTTGGTGGTTGAATCTTACAACTATAATGCTCGGCAAGTGCGAATGAAATGGAATGAGCCTACCCCTGTTCTGCTTTTTAAAGATATTGAGTTACCAGACTTTTTTATGGTCAATTACTCAGTGATTACTAATCAAACGGTATGCTGCTCATTTATTTCGTAATTAGTTAAGTTTCAATTTACTTTAATAACAAGTTTCGTCTTTTTTTACTTCAGCAACAACAGTAACATTATCTATTTGCTGGCCTTTTTTTTACCTAAACGAAAAAAATTGTGCAGGTAAAAAAAAAAAAACAAAAAAAAAACGAATGAACTACAGTACTTTTTGTATACTTTTCGTGTTTTTGTACTTCAAGGACAATGAAAGAAGTATTTTAAATATGATTGTAGAACCCTATGAAACAATAATTATGACACTAAACAATATGCTACTCTTCAAATTTAGCATAAGTGCTACAAATTCTGTTAAAATTTTTTACTGAAAAATAGAACCAAATAAAAATTACACCATTTCTCCACTAAAGTTACTCTTTAAAAGTCGTGTTCTCAATGACGTTTTACAGCGATACGCAGCCGGAACGTGGGATGAATTAACAATTTCATTCCTCTTTCAGCGAAGAAATGGTTTCTACATGATTCAAGGTGCACCTATGCTGAAGACATCGTTTATATTGATCACTAAAGTTATCCTAAAAAATAAAAAAAGAAATCAGTATATGTGCTAAAAAATAAAACAATGTGAGAAAAAGCACAAACAAAGCTATTCACAATTTATTCAGAAGTTAACTGATTACAGGTTTTATTCCGACTCTAATGACAGTTTTCATCTCCTGGATATCATTCTATCTCAGCCCGTCAGTGATGAATGCTCGGACAATGATTGGT